CAAACCCCGGTCACAGGGAAATTCAGAGTATGTGGTCTAACCTTGGAGTGCATTTATCAGCACTGGGCCTCCTCCGTTGCTGATGCCTGTGCAGAGTGCCTAGATGCACATGGGGGACGAGACAGTCAGTTCATCTAGGCCAGCAGAGGACACTGACTGCTTCGTTAGGGGATGGGAAGCAGAACGGATTGGACGGTTCTCTTAGCCAAGCTTTGAAGAAGTGTCTGCACCTGTGGATGTACTAAAGTGGACCTGGCCAGCCAACAGGTCTTGGGAAGGTTTTTTTCATCCCTGATACAATACAGTTGACAACATGTCGGAACTATCAAAATCACTCAAGTAACACCCCTGGAACATTCTTCCCACATTGGTCTCTAAAGTGTCATCAAATAGCCATTTCCATCCCCAGGAGCTGATGCAGTTTGACAACAGGAAGTGGCCCCTCCCTCTTCCCCGACAGCAGACACAGGAAATAAAAAAGAACTGAAGCATTTACCGCATCCACATTCCTACATATCCTAAGCCTCCTCACCTAAATCAGAGGCCTACATGGGCGTCCAGCCCTCTCAACCATGTAAACAATATTAAAAATTAAAATTATATAAAACATGACATGGCTCATTTGAACTATGTCGTACCACCATCATTTAGAGCTAGTCAATTTATAAACTATCAAGTTTAAAATAAGCCCTTCGTAACATGAAGAAATTGTGCCTTTAAAAAAGGACAATTTAGGGCCCGGCCTGGTGGCCTAGTGGCTAAAATCCTAGCCTTGAACGCACTGGGATTCCATATGGGTGCCGGTTCTAATCCTGGCAGCCCTGCTTCCCATCCAGCCCCTTGCTTGTGGCCTGGGAAAGCAGTTGAGGATGGCCCAAAGCCTTGGGACCCTGCACCTGCATGGGAGATCTGGAGGAAGTTCCTGGTTCCTGGCTTCAGATTGGTGCAGCACCGGCTGTTGTGGTCACTTGGGGAATGACTCATTGGACGGAAGATCTTTCTGTCTCTCCTCCTCTTTGTATATCTGACTTTGCCATAAAAATAAATCTTTTTTTTTTTTTAAAAGACAATTTAGGGCTGGCATCACAGCATAGGGGCTAAGCCTCCACCTTTGGTGTCAGCATCGCATGTGGGTGCCTGCTTGCATTCTGGCTGCTCCAATTCTGATGCAGCTCCCTGCTTACGGCCTGGGAGAGCCACAGAAGACGGCTCCAGTCAATGGCCCCTGCAGCCACACAGGAGTCCTTTAGGAAGCTCCTGGCTTTGGCTCAGCTCAGCTCTGAGCATTTCGGCCATTTGCAGAGCGAACAAGCAGATGGAAGATCAACCTCTCTCTGTCAGTCCTTCTCTGTAATTCTGCCTTTTCCAAATAAAAATTTTTAAAAATGACAATTTAGGTAATACAAAATGTATATTTAAGTTTCTAATTTGAATAATTCTGAGAAATTGGCTTGTTGAGTAAGCAGTAAGTCAACTGCCCTTAGTGGAAATCTGTCTTATATGGGACTAAGATAAAAGTCCCAGTAGGCAGCTGCTCATCTCTGGTACTGCTTATGGAGCCTGTCCAAGGGAGAGCAAGGCTCCCTTCAGTCTATGATTCTATAGTAATATAACCAGAGCTGAGTGTATGGAGGGCACCGTGAGATAGGATCTCATTTTGTTCTCCCTAGAACTCCATGAGTGTGTGTGTGGAACACAGTGATTCCTCACATTCTGGAAGGTTCTGAGGAGCACTCCATTTCTTTTTTTTTTTTTTTTTTTTAATTTGAAAGTCAGCTATACAGAGAGGAGGATAGACAGAAAGGAAGATCTTCCATCCGATGATTCAGTCCCCAAGCAGCTATAACAGCCACAGGTGAGCTGATCCGAAACCAGGAGGCTGGAGTTGCTTCCAGGGCTCCCATGCAGGTGCAGGGTTCCATCCTCGACTGTCCTCCTAGGCCACAAGCAGAGAGCTGGATGGGAAGCAGATCCCATATGGGATCATGGCACGTGCAAGGTGAGGACTTTAGCTACTAGGCTACCGTGCTGGTCCCCCTGTGGATTTTCTAAATATTCTTCTCTGTAATTGGAAACAGAACATGAAGCCTGGAACTGAGGCATGGCAAGCGAAGCCTCTACCTGCAGCACCAGAATTCCATATGGCTGCCAGTTTGAGCCCTGGGTGCTCCACTTCCGATCCAATTCCCTGCTAATGGCTTGGGAAAGTAGCAGAGGATGGCCCAAGTCCTTGGACTCTGAACCTATGTGGGAGACCCGGATGAGGCTTCTAGCTCCCGGCTTTGCACAGACCCAGCTCTAGCCATTGTGGGCATGTGGGGGAGTTACCCAGCAGATGGAAGATCTCTGTCTCTTCTTCTCTTTTAAAACCTGCCTTTCCGTCAGGTGGCTGTCCTCCATCCCAGGAGGCACTTGGGAGGCTGGGTGTGGCTTCCCCCCTAAGTCCCCCTTCCCCCACATGCAGGAAGGAAAAACGGAGAATGTGGAAATAATGGTCTTCTGGTAGCCTTTAACCCTTTGCACCCTCATCAACTACGCAAAAATCAAAAACAATTAAAAAAAAAAAACCTGCCTTTCCAATAAAAATAACAACTTTTGGATGAGAGAACATGAAAATGCTGTAATTTCTGGCTTAAAGCCACAACCAGTTCTTGCCTAGATCCAGCCGGAATCTGGGGCCCCTGCACAGAGGCATCCACATTGCTGGCAGGGTTCAGCCTGGAGCAGCATGCGCGTGCCTTACAGATTTCACAGCAGTTCAGAGCTACACCGCAAAGGCAGCTGGCTTAGCTAGGGCTTTTTCTCTGTGTCTCTTGCCCTGGCCACTACGGCTTAACTGAGCCCTTAACATACAGTTGTGACATTCTAGGTGAAGGAAGCGGGCAGTCCCCAAGGGCAAACTGAACTTCTGCTTAGTATATTTACTCTCGCTGTTTTCTTTCCTCCTCATTTGTAAGGCAGGAAGTTCTCGGCGAAGGGAGACGGCCAGGCTTCTCACATGGACCAGAGGCCTACGCGCTGGGACACCAGGCTCTTGGACAAGGTCGGCTACTGAATTTGCTCTGCTCCCTTTGGGCGAGTGAGTGGATCCTGTTGTGCTTGCGTCTCTGCGCGTGCTTGCTCCCTGTCGGTGATGCACACGCGGAGTACTGCGTGGCTATCACAGAGGATCAGCAGGGGGATGACTTGTTTTTCCAGGCCGGCCGCTCAGGTGGTAAGACAGGATCTGCTCCTTTGAGATTGCTAGCTTTGTGGCAGGCAGCCCACTGATCCCCATTCTTTTATTATTATTATTATTACTAATGTTGATTCCCATTCTTGAGGTCACAGCAGCCACCCCTGGCTTCTTGCTCATCTAACACACCTTGCTATTTCTGAGCTGCTGCTCAGCTGCCTTACTCTTTTTTTTTTTTAAAGATTTGTTTATTTTTCATTGGAAAGGCAGATCAGAGTTACAGAGAGAAAGGGAGAGACAGAAAGCTCTTTCACTCCCCAAATGGCCACAATGGCCAAAGCTGAGCTGAAGTGAAGCCAGGAGCCTCTTTTAGGCCTCCCCAAGTGGGTGCAAGGGTCCCAAGGCCTTGGGCTATCCTCTGCTGCTTTCCCAAGTCACAAGCAGGGAGCTGGATGGGAAGTGGAACAGTCGGAATACAAAGTGATGCTCATATGGAATGCCGGCACCAAGGGGTGGAGGATCAGCCTGTTGAGCCATGGTGCAGCCCAAAGTACAGGCTATTTGGGATTTGGGCAAAGAAGCAGTCTGGGAGAATACTGGAAGGAGAGAACACAAAATCTTCTCACCCAGTGTCCCCCCTCTCACCACCCGATTCCCCCCATTTGGTTACAGCCTGCAGTACCTTAGGCAACCAGCTTCCACAGTGAAGGAAAGGTTCCCTACCCAATTCCCAGTCAGGCCTCAGTTTGCCCCTGTGGCCCATCCTCTTACTATTTCATGAACGAAAAACCTCTGCAATGGGCAATTCTTCAAAAAAAAAAGGCTTATTTCCTTTGTTTCCAACTAAACTAAAATAATTTCTGGCGTAGGTTAAGTGAGAGGCATTTCCAAACAAACCTTGGCAGGTGGTCCCGTGGGCCCGTGGACTACTAGCCACTTGTCACTCCTTAGCGCTCGGTCGCTGGAGCAGCTGTTGCAGTAGGACCCCCAGACAGCGGAACGCGGCGTGTACCCTTCCAGTTCCTAAAGACGGTGCGCGCTACGAACGCTCCAACAACCCTGGCAAGGCTGTTCCCATCAGAGCGTGAGGTTCAGCAGTGCGGGGCGTCCCACCTCCGTCTGTTGACCCAAAGGAAACCCGGTTGCGGGGGTGGGGGTGGGGATTCCAATTTGAGAGGAGGGTGTCCTTCCCTTTTCGGCAGGATCGACAGTGTATCACAGGATGAGCCGTGGGTGCGCCAGGGTCGGAAGCCAGCGGTTCCATGGGTAACCCGTGGTCAGTAACTGGCCGGCCTGGAGAACACGCGGGCAGGTGGACAGGAAGGGAGCGGTCGCGAGCATCCCTTCTCCTTAGTCTCCGCCTTGGTCTGGCTGAGCACGGTGGGGTGGGGGTGGTGGTAGACCCGTCACGACCACTGGCACAACTCCTATCGGCGGAAGAGCGAGGACAATCCACCTCCTCATCTCTCTAGGTTAATCCCACAGGGAGGGGGGCTGGGCTGAGGGACCCCAACGTCTCTGAGGCGTAGAAAGCCAACGGGACCTGCGGGCACCAGCGTGGCAGCGAGGACTCCATGACCGCCTTTGGAAGTCATCTCCCCTGCCTCCAGACACATTAAGAAAGAATGCCTCCCTGACGGAGGTTTGCGGCGACCGAGAAGACCAGCGGCGGGAACGCGCGTCAGGAGAGCGTGCGCTCCCTTTGTCGCCGCCTCCCGGCCGGCCCGCGGAAAAGCGCCCCCTCGTACGTGCTCCGGGTGGAAACAGGCGCCGGCCGAGGCGGCGTTCCGCGGCCGGAAGGGAAGCGAGAGGGCTGAGCGCCGGCCGCTCCTCCTCCTTCCCTCCCTCCGTCCCTCCCTCCACCCGCCTCGGCCCTTGAAGGGGCTGGAGGAGCGGCGAGGCGGGCGCGATGGCTCGAGCCCGGGCGGCGTCGGTGGCGGCGTCGGTGGCGGCCGTGGCCGGAGGCGGCGGCGCCTCCTCCTGCTCGCCCCGGCGGTGATCGGCGCGAGCTGCCCGGTGCCTCCCGATGAGACTGTTGGCGGGCTGGCTGTGCCTGAGCCTGGCGTCCGTGTGGCTGGCGCGGAGGATGTGGACGCTGCGGAGCCCGCTCACCCGCTCCCTGTACTTGAACATGACGAGTGACCCCGGCGGGCCGGCGGCGGCCGCGGGCGGCGGCAGGAAGGAGACCCACCAGGTACAGGCCGGGCGGCTCGGGGTCTGGGCCCAGGCGGGGGGCGTGGCGGCCCCCCGGGCCTTCCCGCGCGCTGCCCCCCGCCATTGTGCGGGGAGGCGACGGGGCGAGGGGCACACGGTGCCCGGCTCTCTGCTCCCGGCCTTTGAGAAAGTTTTCCAGGTCGGGCGCCGGGCCCCGCTGCGCCTTTTGTTTCCCCGGCGCGGACAGAGAGGGGCGGCCTGCTCCTCGGGCTCCCCGCGCGTGGGCGCCCCGGAGTCCAACATTGTTCCAGCGACAGCGCCGGAGGAACTTGTGGGACCGATCGTGGGTCTTCAAGGCCCACCGGGGTCCGAGATGGGAGAAAAAAAAATCTCCCCCGCCCCCCCCCAAAAAAAAACAAACCCAGCGAACCTTCCACCTTTCTGATCCTCGACAAGCAACAAAAATGAAAGCCCATTCCTGCTTCCCCCCTTTTTGTGTCTAGTTGAACCCCAGTGCGTACAAAGAGGTCCTAAAGAAATTCAGCCGAGCATTGTGACCCGCGTTCATTCTTCGGACTTCCTGGCCGGGGGGCGGGGAGGGTGTCGTCTTCCTCCCGAGCATTTCAATAACGGGGTTGACAGGTCCCCACTTGCGTCCTCCCCAAGCTTTTCTTCTTAAGGTTGGGAAGATCACCCCGAAACTTGGATGGACTTAGCTGACCAGGAGGGTGGCGATCCTGTGGCAGAAGATGCAAACTTCTCTCCTATAGGAAGGGATTTTTTTTTTTTTTTTTTTTATTAAAAAACAGAGCGGGGCAACAGTGAATTCTTCAGTAAGACTGGCCGTGGTGATGCGATGGGACCAGCCGGGTCGTCATTTTCGGTGTGTGCCGGTTAAAGAAGCACGCGTCGAGGCAGTCCTGGGATGAGATATTTAGTGTTTGGCCATAATGGAGTTTGCGTTCATGGAAGGGACTCTTTCTGAACTCTGTCAGTGTGGGCTCCTTAAAGCTAGCACTGGCTGTACGTTTTGCCTTTTGGAAGAATGGTAATTAATGGTTCCCTGTATCATTGTGTGGATGTGTTTCTCGTTCAGGTTGACGGTATGTGTTCTAGTCTAAGGAGAGGAAGCAGTTGGCTTAAGAAAGGAACAATTAGTCCTCACCTTGTACTGTATATGGTGGCCTTTTTCTGTTTTTAAAGGAATCCTAAGCTTTTACACATTTGTTTTTTTAAATCCCTCAGCAATTATGACACGGTTGAAAGTGTCCATCATGTTGTACTGCTCTAATGGAAAAACCACATTGCGGTGGCTTAATGACTTGTAACTTGTTAATTCTTGTGGAAACATTATTAACGGACTGTATGCTTTACCATACAGTTATTAGAATGTCACACGTTCGTATGGTACATGGGTAACAGTGCAGAACAGTGAACTCGACCTGTCAGCTTTAACAAGCAATTGGAATAAGGTCCTGGATAGGGAAGAAAGGGCCAAGTGCAACCACTGGCGATGGTTGGTGTTTGTGTGAAAGTACTTGCCTTCATTATCTCCAGTACAAGCGTTTGATATGTTTTCAGTGCTTGTAAAAGATTTGCATTTATTTTAAGCATTGAGGACTTGTTTATAAAGTCTGATTTGTATGTTGTGTCCATAGGACTCATAGCTGTGGGTGGAGTCTAGGACGACATCATCCAGTTGAGAATACTTTGTAATTGTGGACCTTTTTAAAGCTGAGTTGGTCCAGTTTTAATGAAAAAGGAATCTGCTTTCAGATGCTGAGACACTCCGGAGTGTGTGTGTGTGTCCATCCGGTTGCTGTAACAATTTGGCACATAATTCTTCAAGCTAAAAATCAGCCTAGTGATGAATATATTGGGGGGTTAATCAACTGCTTTTGTTAGAATAATGAATCCACATACTCATTTTGAGGTGAATACCTTTACATTATGAAAGTCATTGTCTGTGAATCAAGTTGAAAACGAACAAAAGGACAGTGTGGGTGGAAAGGTAAAGTTAGAGGCTGAGCTTTCTGCATTGTGTGTCATGCTGTACTGCAGTTGACTCTGATTGCTTATGGGCTTCATATTCCAGGGTCTTGGGCTTGCCATAGAACTTGATTGCTTGCAGAGTAACTTTAATGGTCTTTCCCTTTTCGCATTAATCATCTTATACAAGATCTTCTGGTGTTCATTTGGGTATGTGGCTCCTGCGGCCAGCCACATCTGGCTTTTTTGGAGTTATATGAAAGAGTTATGCATTTGACTGAACCATACTTTTGTACAAGTTTTCCTTCTGGTTATTTTATTAAGGATTTCTGATGGAGTAATCTGTGTTTACAAGAGCGATCTTGGCCAATGTTTATTCGTTAAAGATCACTGTTAGCATTGCCTGGAGAAGCCAGCTTCCTTTGCACTCACAAAGCTCTGCCACCGTCATCACATTTTCATGACTTGATTTTCATGACTTGGCCTGGCGAGTCATTGTTGGGACTGGGGTGACACTTCACATCAGGCGAGGGGAACGAGCGCTTCTCTAAGACTCTGCACCATGGCTGAAGGCCAGATTGCCTTCCTTGATGCTTTTATAGCCTTGTGGAGTAAGACTAGCTTTCTATTTGTAAATGGTTAGGAAGAACAAGGCCCAAAGACTGTAACGTGCAAATTTCACAGATGAAATATGAGTTTCAGGGTCCACAAATACACTTTTTAAAAAAAATTTTTTTTTGCCAAAGCAGAGCGACCACAGTCATTTTCTTGCCACCGGTGAGTGCTCTTGGGGCTTCAGCAGCAGCGGCCTGCAAATCCCGTGTTTACCTTCTGCCACTTTGCAGAATGAGTGTTTCTAAGGTGAAAACTCCCTTACCAGCTCTGTGTTCTTATCACAGGTGGCTTCGTGGGTAAGTTGACTCACTGGGGAAACACAGAGCAGTGAGAAGCCAGCAGGTGTCCGTGTTCGCCGCTGACAGATTGAGAAGTTGAAAAGAAAAAAAAACAAAAACCCTTGGATCCGGTCTGTTTTGGTGCCTTGCAGTTAGTACTTAGAGTTGATGTGAAGCTGTTGAAACTTGAAAGGACCCCGAGGCCCCACTGACTGAGTTCTTGATAGGAGTGGTCATTCAACAACTTCTCAGTTGATGGAGTGAAAAAAAAAATTGTTATGAAAGTTGTTGGAACCAAACCATGACAGTTTTTCCAGGTGACATACTATAAAGTTTTTTTTTTAAGCCCAGAAAATATTCAATATGTGGAATTGTTAAGCCATAACAAAATTGCAAGCAGATGTGTATCTGTAATTTATTTTTTCCATCTTATATAAGCTCAGAATTGTGCTATGCCACAGGCGATGATGGGTTCAAGAAGAATTGATTGAAACGATTTGCTTGCTTTTCCGTTTCCTTTCCCCAAACAGGCATGTACCGGGACGCTCTCCGCCTCAGTCAGATGTGCCGAGGGGTGGATCCAGTTTCCTGTTATTTTACTACTCATTTACCTTGTGGAGGCTGAGCAAGTGAGGCCCGAGTTAGCAGTGCGTCAGGGCCATCGGCCAGCTGGCCAGGCGTGCCCTGATGGGTCAGTGTTCCTCTCAACTGCTTTTCCTGGTGTGAAGGCCACTGCACCTGAATACCAAAGCAGCTTCGAAAAGGGTTTCTTTCCTTCCTTACAACCTGCACTGAAACCTTGAGTGAGTGTGTGCTTCCATTTCACAGCACACTAGGCTGTCTTTCTGCTGAGTAGCAGGGACCTTGATGTTTGCCTTTGAAGGTGCCTCAGCCGAGCTGGGGGAAGTTCCAGTAAAAAGAAGTCGTTGTTCTAGATCCTTGGAAGCTTTGCTGTGCAATCTTAGGATCATGAAGTATTAACAATGAGTGCATATTCGAAAAGAGGATTGTTAGTAATGTAGCAAATCAAAACTGAAGCAACTTAATGTGCTCGAAGATTGGACATTTACTTCTTTGCTGTGCTTAGCTGGAAGGAAGCCTCAGTGCTGAGCTGTTCGGCCTGGTTTGGCGAACATCGCACAATCTCAGAATGTGGCTTTTGAACCCTAAGTGGTAAAGGACAGTGGGATTGGTCTGACCGCTCCATGTGGCAGAAGAGATAGTGTTCATGGATGCCAAGCTGTGGAACCTTTGGATTGTTCTCGGTGGCCCTGAGTTCCTCAGGTCTTTGGTTGCCCATTACTTTTGAGAAGGACAGGGTGCCCGGTGCGGTTTTTCGACTTCCCTTGAACTGATCTCTTTTCTTTTCTGTTGGACAATAAAGGGGAAAATATAAACACTTACTGTGCTTCTGTTCTTCTGTTATACAATAGAAGGCACTGGAAATGTATTATGTCAGTCCATCTTTGCTTCAGTGAAAGAAGGTTAAGGGTAAGAGCACAGTTACAGGTGGTACAGTCAGGTTGTACACTCAACTCTGACTTGTGGCCATGGGATTTCCCACTGCTTGGGATATTCCTCCTAGTAAATCTTGTGTTTAAGAGGAGGTGTGAATGGGCTCATCTTAATGGGGTGCTGTGCCCACCCTTCTGTGCAGACTTTGAAGTTAGGTGAAGTGTCAAAAAAACTATGTGAAGCTTGTCAGTTTATGATGAGGGTGAGACGACAGTTTATGTTTGAAGTTCTGGCTAGTTTATGCCTACTTTTTTTTTTCAAGATTGATTTATGTATTTGAAAAGCAGAGAAATGGAAGAAACACACACAGAGAAGGAGGGAGGGAGAGAGAAAGAACACGAGGGTGAGAGGGTGCTTCTATCCCCTCGTTCATTCCTTTGTTGGCTGCAAAGGTCAAAGCTGGGCCAGTTTGAAACCAGGAGCCAGGGGTTTCTTTCTGATGTCACACGTAGGTGCAGGGGCCAAAGGACGTGGGCCATCTTCTGTTGCTTTCCCAGAGACATAAGCAGGGAGCTGAGTTGGAAGTAGAACAGCCAGGATACGAATCAGTATCAGGTGGGGAGTGAACCAGTGGGTGAAGATTTCTGTCTCTCCTCTCTCTTTGTGACTCCAACTTTCAAATAAACAGATAAGTCTTTAAAAATAAATACATAAGTCTTAAAAAAATTAAGAGTCAAAGAGGGAGAGAAAGATCGTTTCTGCTGGTTCATTCCCAAGAATCAGCAGGGGCTGAGGGTGAATCAGGGAAACTGGGAACTCAGTTCGAGTTTCCCCTGTGCGTGGCAGGAACTCAGTTACTTGAGCTCACCACACTGCGTTCCAGGATCTGTATGCACAGGAGGCTGGAGTCAGGAGCCAACCCTGGGACTGGAGCTCATGCACTCCAAGCGGAACTAGGGCATCTTAATCAGGTCTTAACCACTAGGCTGAGTGTATACTGCGGTAAGCTGGTTTAATCTAACTTTCCAGTCCGATTAGAGTACTCAGAAGGTACAGTGGGGAAAAAAGGAGACTATTGTAGCTTCTGTACATGCTTGACTAGTTGAGAAACTCCAAGAACTAATTTCAGACTTTTAAATGTGTTCTTCAGTCTGATAAATAAGTGTCATTTTATCTAAAAAAAAAAATCAGTCAAGATTATATAAACGTTAGATAATGTTCATGGACTTAATGAAGAAAAATTTAGATGACGTGATCCTGTTAGTCTGCTTTCTGTACCTTTAAAATACCTGAGAGGAGCTGCTTTGCAAAAGCAAAGTTATTTCGGCTTAGAGTTTGGAAATTACAGTTCCAGATCAGGCGGTCCCATAGTGTGGCTTCTGTGAAGGCAGGTGCAGAGGCACAATCACAGCCAAGCTGGCTGGGGGGAGGGAAGGAGAGAGAGAGAGAGAGAAATATAAATAGAAATGAATGTGAATCTCAACTTGAATTCAAATAAGGATCTGTAGTGTCAAAAGACCCAGAGGATATACTTCCAGTGACCTGAAGATCTCCCACTGACCCCCACCTCTTATCTACCACAGTTAGGTGAAATTTCCACCCTTAATCCATTAAGCACTAACATTAAGACATCAGATTAAAATGAAACAACTGTATGAGTTGTGGGGCGATAAAGCCTGCCATACTCACAACATGAGCTAATGCTATCAGACACACGTTTGGAAAGCCTGTGTTTGTGTATTTTTGGCTGGTTATTAATGTCTCTGCAGTCTTGTTGTAGGGACAGAGTGTTACTATTTTCATTTTTAGAAGATGTTATGTTTAGTTATCATATCCCATTTCATTCTTGGTATCAACAAATGACTGCATGCAATAATTCTGATTTGATTATGGTTTTGTTATTCAAAAGATTTCCTTGGTCATTTAGAGGGAACAATATTTAAGCGAGCTTTGAAGGCAGGTGCCACTGGGATGCTTCTGCAGGACCTGGGGAGTCCGCCCCGCAGTAGAGCTGGCCCTCATCTGGCAATGTGAAAACAAGCCTGCTGCTTTGTGCACACGTAAGGCATGTGCCTGGAAGTGCATAGGAGCCTGCGGAAAGGCTGCCTGGTGCTGTGCCAGGAGACTGTCAGAAGGGCTTAGGAGCCCTTAGACTAATGTTCTCCCTGATTGCCTGAAGGACTGGCTGACTACTTCTTTAAGGCTTTGAAGGAAGGTCCTAGCTGAGATCTTAGTCTCATTACTTGTTTCTTGTGATTTCTTGTTAATTTTTCCCACTGGAACAAAACTTCTTTTCTTTGAGACCCGGGAGTACAGCTTTTAGTTTTGTTAGCTGAAGTTCCTAGAACACAAAGTGGGCGACTTGGGGAGTATCATTGTATTGTCTCAGCAGCAACCTTTTTTCTGGGTCAATCCATGGAGGGGTTCTCAAGCAGTAGCAATTTTGTTTCCCTCAGGGGACGTTGGGAATACCTGGGACATTTTGGCCTGTCAGTTTGGGGTATTGCTGCTGGCACCTGATGCAGCAAGGCTAGCAATGTGGGTAAATAGCCTGTAATGCACAGGGCAGCCCCTAACACCCATCAGTCGTGCCAGGGTTGAGAAATACTGACCTGTAGGAATTTATCTGCTCTTCTTTGCTAGGCACATCCAGTTCAATTTAATTGGCAGGTAGTCCTACATGCATGCTGGTTCTTTTTCTTTTCTTTCTTTCTCTCTCTTTCTTTTCTTTCTCTCTTTCCTTCTTTCCTTCCTCCCTCCCTCCTTCCAAGCCTGGGAACCCTGCACCCACCTGGGAGACCCGGAAGAGGCTCCAGGCTTCTGGCTTCAGATTGGCTCAGTTTCGACCATTGCAGCCGCTTGGGGAGTGAATCATCGGACAGAAGATCTTGCTCTCTGTTTCTCCTCCTCTCTGTATATCTGACTTTCGATAAAACTGATGGAATAATATTCCTTTGTGTATATATATATATATATATATGCACCACATTTTCTTTACCCATTTATCTGTTGACGGATTCCGTGGTTGGTTCCTCTTCCTGGTTATTGTGAAGACTGCTGTAATAAACATGGTGCTGCAGCGATCTCTTGGATACAGCGGTTTCATGGCTTCGGCTTTGTACGCGGTAGGGATTGTTGGTCGGCTGTGCTGATTCACGTCGCCCCCTCCCAGCCTGTGCATGAGCTTCTTCACATTCTCACCAGCACTTGTCTTTTTAACTCATTGGCTAGTGGTACTGTTAGCCATTTGTATTTCTTTAAGATATGTCTCTTCAGATCTTTACCCCTTTCTCCACTGGACTGGTGGTTTTATTGTTGAGTTGTTTTTGAGTTCCTTATATTTTCTGGATATTAGTAGTTTGTCACATAAATACCTTGCAAATGTGTTCTTCCCTTTTGTTGGTTGTCTTTTCACTCTTTAGTTTCTTTGGCTGCGCAAAATCTTCTAAGTTTGGCAAAATCTCATTTGTCTAGTTTTGCTAAGTCATTAAATGACAAATTAGCACAAATAAATCTACAACTGGGCAACTTTTGTTGATGCAATAGAGGGCATTGTTGATGCAGAATTAGTAAAGTGATTAATCATTGAAATGCAGTGTACCTGTGTACCTGTTTGTGTTGGCTTGAAACTGGTTCCTTTTGATGTTGGTGACGGGAATGTTGCTCAAGCTTTTGTCTAACATTAAGCAAGCTTAGAATGGCTGTAAAATTGATTCACCAATTGTGTAAGCAGCTTTGAGACACCTGCTGCTGAAACTTGTCAGAAGGAAGTTGCTTTTTGCCAATAGACTTCCTATTGGGAAATATTGGTTGTTTCATAGCAGATAGCGGGTTAATAGTAGCTGATGTACTTCGCAGATTCATCATGGTTCTTAGTGGACTTACTTTTGTTTAAAGGAATCTTACTGCTATCATCACTTAAAGTTCTCACTTTGTGCTTTGTGTTATGTTGAGGAGGACTTGCCTGCATTGTTTTGTTAGATCCTTTTAGTTATTCTACAAGGATAATTGGATACCAGTGAATGAGTGGAGACTTAGGGGTTTACTGAACTTTGTTTGAGCTCACATAGGAATGTCAAAGGCAGGATTTGACTTCTGGCAACCCTAAAGCTGATGTGCGGCTTATTTCTCTACTTCTCTAGTACACTAGCTCTAAGTGGAAGTGGAAAACATTTATTGTGGAAGATTAAATTCCACCTGCAGTCGAAGCTCTGGTATTTAGTTATGAGAACATTCTCTTTAGAGTCTGTTTCTGGGAATTTGGTTGGTAGCATGTTATGACTTTGCTCTTTGATTGCAGTATGACCATGAGTAACTGCTTATCATGGCTGAGCAGGTTTTTGCCAGGTGAGAATGTTACGTGTAAAGCACACCTCAGGGTCTCTAAAGAGCTCTTTGGTACGGTCTGCTCCCTGGGTATTAAATTCTGCTCCTTACTCTGCCATTGATTTATTTGATGGATTTGAGTTAACTCATTGGCTGTGATTGCTTTTTATAATCTAAAAGCAGGATTAATAATTTGCCTTTTGATGTTAAATCTCCGAGACAGAGAGGCAGCAGCTTTTCTAGATCCGGGTGAAGCCCTGGGTCAGGGGTCAATACCTGGGCTGATGGTCCGGTTCTGCCACCTGCTAACCAGCATTGTCTTGAAAGCCATTTCACCCTCTCATCCCCTCTACCAGCCTTTAGATGAGAAGTCGTGTCTGAAGAAACATTTTATGCTTGAAGGTTGTATAAGAGAAAAATGATTAACTACGCATGAAATTATATTTAGAAACTGTAGGCTCGACTTGTCTTCTATTTTATGTTCTTGGATTTCTGAAGTGACATTTCAGTTATGTGCTTTACATTTTTGTTCTTTCTTTTTTAGTGGTATGTGTGCAACAGGGAGAAGCTATGTGAATCCCTGCAGGCTGTCTTTGTTCAGAGTTACCTTGATCAAGGAACGCAGATCTTCTTAAACAACAGCATTGAGAAGTCAGGCTGGCTGTTTATCCAGTTATATCATTCTTTTGTGTCATCTGTTTTTAGCCTGTTTATGTCTAGAACATCTATCAATGGGTAAGTGAATCTTGTATATTTTGTTTTCCTTTATCCTTGGGTTTAGAAAAAGGAGACATGGTCAAAATCATCTTGTTCAATGTACTGACCGCCTGAGCTGCAACACTTCTGCTGGTCAGAATCCTTGGCAGCCTGCTGCAGTTAATGTTTTATATTTTTTAGCTGATGAAGTTTAATGAAAAGAATGTGCCTGACAGATCAGACGAGCATCTCCACAAAGAAATGAGAGGCCAGGCTGCACAGAGATTCACCAGCACGTGACGGATAGCCTAGTCTGTTTGTGTGGTGGGAATTACTTAGGGCAGTGTTTCTCAGCTTTGATATGCACAGAATTCACCTGGAGAATCTTGTTAAAATACAGATTGTGATGCAGTAAGTCTGGAGAGGGGCCTGAGGTTCTGTGTTTTGTTTTAAAGATTTATTTTGTTGGAAAGTCAGATATACAGAGAGGAGGAGAGACAGAGAGGAAGATCTTCCATCTGATGATTTACTCCCCAAGTGGCCACGGTGGCCAGAGCTGAGCTGATCCAAAGCCAGGAACCAGGAGCTTCTTCCGGGTCTCCCACACAGGTGCAGGGTCCCAAGGCTTTGGGCCTTGTCTGCTCTCCCAGGCCACAAGCAGGGAGCTGGATGGGAAGCGGGGCCACTGGGATTAGAACTGGCGCCCATATGGGATCCTGGCGCATGCAGGGCGAGGACTTTAGCTGCTAAGCCATTACGCCAGGCCCAAGATTTATTTATTTATTTGAAAGGCAGAGTGATAAAGAGAGAGAGAAGTAGTGATGGGGGAGAGAGATCTTTAGTCTGCGGGTTCTCTTTCAAAATGGTTGCAACAGCAATGTTTGGAACTGACTCCATCCAGTTTCTGACATGGGTGACAGGGGCCCAAACACTTGTTGTCCCCTGGGTGCATTAGCAGGAGGCTGGATCGGAAGTGGAGTAACCCTCAGCAATCTGATAGGGGATGCTAGCATTGGACTTGCTGCAGTGACTTGACCAGCGGTACTGCAGTATTGGCCCCAGGTTTTGTATTCTGAGTGGAGTCTAGGTTCCCAGTCCATCTTCTGGTCCTTAAACATGTTTTCATGTACTGCATATCACCTTCCAACATTCCTGACTTGCTCTTTTGTGTTTTTTGTGTGACATTGTTTTATGTTTGCTTCAGGAAGCAGCTGTAACTCAGCCTGACATGTTGTACCTGACATTGGGTTGTGCTGAATTTCTGCTCCATACCCTTTTTATTTCTTTGGAAATGAGATGAGTCACCGTTGTGGAGACCCTTGTCCTTGTTGGGGTCCTGTATCTTTTTGAGAGTGATAAAAGATAAGGAATTTCTCTTCAGAAAGTACTTCATTCACCATTTTGAATAGTTTTTTTTTTTTTAAAGTTGCAGATTGAATCACTTTCCCCTTTCTCTGTCTCCTAGACCCTGGTTAAAATTCTCTTCTCTGTAATCGGACACAATGAAATTGATAAACTCCTGAATTATAACTTTTGTGCTTTTTTTTCTTTTGCGTGTGTCCCCCAACCCCTGTCACTCCCACCTCTATGCCTCTTTAGAGCCTCTTGGTGCTTCCCGTACATGGCAGTGGTATATCATGCCAAGTGGCTCTTACAGAAATGATTATTATGGTAGCTTCTTAAATAAGGTGCATATCAGAATTGTTTATATTAGAAAGGAGAAAGCTGAGTAAGGGCAGACTTGACAGCTGCTTACAGAGTTTATTTTGTAAGAAAGAGGCATCTCTCTAGATTCTACAGAGACCCGAGGCTGGCTGGAGAATCTGGCATGGCTACTCGGTGCTATGATAAAGACCAAATGGAGAGCTGCATCTCTCTGGTAGGAGTTTAGAGGAAACCTGGCCCCGAGTAAATTACTCTCTTGATATTTTAGGTGGCAGCCTTCTTCACAGACTGTCCCACACGTTGCAGAAGTCTGGTTTGTCTGGCCTTGCCCAGCGGGTGCCAGTGGCACTCCTAAGTCGTCGTGTTGACTCAGTACCCTCCCACTGTCCCCTAGAGGGCAGAGTCTGTCCTGCTTGATGAAGTTTGATGTAGTTTTTGGCAGTGTCGATCTTTGTCTGTGGCCTCTGTTACTCATGTTCTTTGGAAATTGGACAGTGTCCTCTTTCCTTGTGGTGCCCTTAAACACACACCCAGTCAAGTGACTCAGGAGCTCCAACCCCAGACGGCCTCGAGCCCCAGAATTTTGTGATTATCCTGTCAGGGTTCCTCATTTCCCAAGGAGAGAGCTTGGGAAGCATACTATTTTTTAACTAGGAAAGTTTAAGCAAAATAATGACTTTGTGACTAAGTTTGAGCTCTCTGGCTAGTCAGCATTGACATTGTAACCGTGCTGCTGTCTGCTGGGTTTCGGACTTAAAAAAAAAAAAAATTACCTCTTTAAAAAGAAGCATATACAGACTGCTGTCACAAAGCCTAACCCCCCCCCCCCGCCCCGCTTTTTTTCCAGTCTTATAAAACCTGTACCCTGGACTTATGTTTTTCTCACCCATTGCTTAGTATCATATTCTTTTTTTCTTCTTTGGTTTCTGTGGCTACTATTTTTGATTCTCAATGTTTGTTGTTACTCTTCCCATTTTTCCTTTTTGTTTTGACTTAAACTCTTCACATTCACCTTTTAATTTTTCTTATCCCTTCCTATTGTTTTCCATTTCTGATTTTTCTTCCCACCTTCCCCATGCCTTTTGAATATTAGTTGTAAAAACAAATGGTGGAGCCCGGCACAGTGGCACAAGTGGTTAAAGGTCCTCACCTTGCACGCCTGGGATCCCATATGGGCGCCGGTTCTAATCCCGGCAGCTCCACTTCCCATCCAGCTCCCTGCTTGTGGCCTGAGAAAGCAGTGGAGGATGGCCCAAAACTTTGGGACCCTGAACCCGTGTGGGAGACCCGGAAGAAGTTCCTGGATCCTGGCTTCGGATTGGCATAGCATCGGCCGTTGCACTCACTTGGGGAGTGAATCATCGGATGGAAGATCTTCCTCTCTGTCTCTCCTCTCTGTAAATCCGCCTTTCCAATAAAAAAATAATAAAAATAAATCTTTAAAAAAAAAACAACAAACAAATGGTGAGGACCCAACATGGTAGCCTAGTGGCCAAAGTCCTTACCTTGCATGTGCCAAGATCCCATAGGAGCACCGGTTTGTGTCCCAGTAGCCCTGCTTCCCATCCAGTTCCCTGCTTGTGGCCTGGGAAAGCAGTCGAGGACGACCCAAAGCTTTGGGACCCTGCACCTTTGTGGGAGACCCGGAAGAAGCTCCTGGTTCCTGGCTTCAGATCAGCTCAGCTCTGGGTATTGTGGCCATTTGGGAAGTGAATCAGCGGATGGACGATCTTCCTCTCTGTCTCTCCTCTTCTCTGTGTATCTACCTTTCCAATAAAAATAAGTAAATCTGTAAAAAAAATGGTGATATTAGGAGATTTTTATTTTGTTAACTGGGTTTTTAGTCCTGCAAATCATAAGCATTTGCATTAAATTATTAAAATATATTTATAAGTTGTCAAGGTTGTTAACACTTCTTTTGCATAGACTTCCATTTTTTTGTCCTGTTTCTTTCAGATTGCTGGGAAGAGGCTCAATGTTCGTGTTTTCACCGGATCAGTTTCAGAGACTGCTGAAAATTAATCCAGACTGGAAAACCCATAGACTTCTTGATTTAGGTGCTGGCGATGGAGAAGTCACAAAAATCATGAGCCCTCACTTTGAAGAAATCTATGCCACTGAGCTTTCTGAAACTATGATATGGCAGCTTCAGAAGAAGAAATACAGGTACAGTCCCTAGACATGGTTTGGGAAGTGTGGCTTGGCACTGGATGTTCTTCGAGGCATACGTCCAGAAGTGCAATTGCTGGGTCACATGGTGAGTCCGTGCTCAGTATTTCGAGGAATTGCCGTGCCTTTGCCAGAGCATCTGCAACAGCAACACGCGGTGGCTCTTGTTTCTCTGCCTCTTGGGCAATGCTTGCTCTTTTCTTTTTTGTTAATAATAGCCATTGATGCTAATAGGCATAAAGTGTCACGCAGTGGTTTTAAGACCCTCAGGTGCCTCAGTGGGGGTTCTCTTTGTCAGGACACTTCGGGTGCTGCTGGGTAGGGAGTGGGGGGTGTGCACATGGCACCCAGTCCTCTATGATGGTTTGCCTGGCTTGGCCTTAGAGACAGAGGAGAAAGAAGCTGGTATTCACCACTCACTCTCCCTTCCACGTTTCTACTGCTACAGACTCACCCGGAGATGGAGAATCAGCATAGGTTTTGAGCAGGACTGAAACATTTGCGAAACATGCACATGTTTTTTTTTTTCTTGGAGAAGGAAAGACCAAGAAGAGGGATGGAAGGGAAGATTACTGTAAGCAGATATTGGGAGAGATTTCAAATGGAAAGAAGGATTCCGGATAGTCTCTGGTATAATTAGACAGAGTTGGTTAAGTTATAGCTTCGGGAGACCGAGCTTGATAATAGCTGCAGCCGCGTGAGTCCCTGCCACTGTCAGTGTTTTAACAGTTGTTAGGGATGGGGCAGGCCCAGTGGCATAGCAGCTTAATCCTCTGCCTGTAGTGTGCTGGTGTCTCCTATGGGCACCAGTGTCCTGTGGCCTGGGAAAGCAGAGGAAGACGTCCCGGAAGAAGCCGCCTGGCTCTCGGCCTCTGATCAGCCCACCTCTGGCAGAGCAGCCATCGGGAAGTGAACCGACAGATGGGAGACTACTCTCGTCTCTCCCTCTCCTAGTAATTTTGACTTTCAAGTGAAATAAAGAAGTCTTTTTTTTAAGATTTGTTTATTTTTATTACAAAGTCAGATATACAGAGAGGAGGAGGAGGAGAGACAGAGAGGAAGATCTTCCGTCCGCTGATTCACTTCCCAAATGGCCACAATACCCAGAGCTGAGCTGATCTGAAGCCAGGATCCAGGAGCCTCTTCCGGGTCTCCCACTCAGGTGCAGGGTCCCAAGGCTCTGGGCTGTCCTCGACTGCTTTCCCAGGCCACAAGCAGGGAGCTGGATGGGAAGTGGAGCTGCCGGGATTAGAACTGGCACTCATATGGGATCCCGGGGCATTCAAGGCGAGGACTTTAGCCACTAGGCCACGCTGCCAGGCTCGAAATAAATAAATCTTAAAAAATAAAAATAATAGAGCCCTATCTGTATATCTGCCTTTCCAAATAAATAAATCTTTTTTTTTTTTTTAAAGAAATTTGTCTTCAGATGTTATACCCCCCTCCCATTTTCCTGCTTTTAGTCCCTGCATAACTGGAATTTTCTGTGAAATCTTAGACGACTGAATTAGTAACTCAATAGATCTAGAGTTTATATTATGTGTACATTTGAAACTCATACTGGTTAACCCTCCAGCCTTGTAGCCTGAGAACACAAAGCATGCCCTGAGGGTATTAAGTTTAAAGTTTTAAAGAGGAATTCATATCGTATTTAAGTTTAGGGCTCCCTCAATTCAGCATGGCTAGGCAATTGCAGCTTAAGCCACCTTTTTTTTTTTTTTTTTGCTCTTTCTTGAGACTTAGCTGTTTTTTGTTTCTCTTCAATGTGAAACCCATGAAAAACAGACTTTAATAAAGGTTCTGGACGGCAGTTTTGAAAGAGATTAATAAACAGAAAATGGCCACATTTTTTGCTCCGTGTTTCCAGATGTCATTGTTTATGCCAGAAGACTCCATTGTAAAATTTAAGGCTGTGGCTCAAAATTTTAAAACACAACAGTGTTTTAAAACTTTTTATGATGTTAATGTTTTGTTTTTTATTTTAAATTTCTCAAAATATTGATGGTTTTGTCATTCTCTAAGGAAAAGCTATTTTAAATCCTCCTGGGAGGAAAACTATTCATTAACTTGTTGTCTTGGGAACAATTTGCTCCTGAACCAGACACCCTGCTCCTAAGGTTAGAGACGTTGCTTTAGAAGAGCCGCGGCGATAGGAAAGGGTTAATTAATTCCTCTTGCTGATTAATTGTTTGTCTTTTAGTTATTTGAAAGGCAGAGAGGTGAGGATTATCTGTCTGCTGGTTCACTCCCTCAATGCCCGCAATAGTCTGGGATGGGCCAGGCAGCAGCCCGGAGCTGGGAATGCCATCTGGGTTTCAGGGAAGTGCCATTCCTGACTGTCTTCCTGGAAGCGTTAGCAGGAGGCTGGGTCACAGCAGAGCAGGCAGGGCTGGAGCTGTCCTTCTGATGTGGAATGCGGGCATCCCAGGCAATAGCTTAACCTACTGTGTTTTGTCTTCCTCTTGCTCCTTTTGTTTTGCTCAGAAATGCTGTAAAATATCAGACCAGTGAGTTTACCAGCGCTCTTGTAGCATGTCCCGAGATGTCTCGGTGCTTACATAGCGTCATTAAGGGCTTGCTTACCCAGGATTCTTTCTGGTTTCCCTCTTTCCCTCCTGATTCCGTGACATGTCTCACCTACCACATTCTGGTTGTGTAACCAATGCAGAAATAAGAATGTTAGAATGGTGTGGCTAGTGGACTGTTACTGTGAAAGCTTCTCCTTTCTGTAGACAAAAGCATGAAGTGGTACTCTCTGTGTGTGGTTGAGGGTGAAGAATGATATTTTAACTGTTCTTCATTTAGTCTTTAAAAAATGTTCTGCGCTTTATCTTTTTCTGTATACTTCATTCAGATAGGAAGATTCTAGACTAGGAAATGTCTCCTGGCAACAGAGATGTACTCAAAAGGTCATGGGTTGTAAATGGAAGTTATTTTATGGCACTCCCACTCATTCTCAAGTATTACGAGTGCTGGGTAGCTTGGCACAGAGGTTCAGGTGCTCCTTGGAGTACTTGGCATCCCATGTTGAGTGCTTGAGGTCCGGTTACACGTTGCCTTCCCATCCAGCTTCCTGCTGGCACACGTTCTGCTGCAGTGTTCAGATCTCTGCCGGCCACGCGGAGACGGGGGTTGAGTTCGAGCTCCTGGCTTCAGCCTGGCCCAGCTCGGCTGTTGTGGACATCAGATCCGTGAGCTCCGTCCCTCCGCTTCTCTCTCTCTCTGCTTCCCCAAAACTAAAAATTTCAGAAATTTTTAAAAAGAAGAAGAGGGACTCTAGAAATGGAAAACACGAGCATTATATACATATGTTTTATGGTTGAATGTTTAAAAGGACGGTACTACTTATTAACTGATGTTTCAGATTTTGCTTCCACAACCATTTTTATTGCTTTGCACTTTCGTATTAAACATGATTAGTTCTTATAAAGGAATTTTATATGTTTTGAGATTTGGAAATATGAGAAATGCTAAATTTAAAGGAATATTATTGTTTTTCTCTTGGCCTTTTTATTAATTGCAGATATAAATTGGGAGCGAAGATTTTGAATTTGCTTTGATCAAAAGACAGAGAGCGGCATCTCAGTTATTTTTAAAGATGCCTAAGGGGGCCCTGCATGATGGCCTAGTAGCTAAAGTCCTTGCCTTGCATGCACTGGGATCCTTTTTGGTTCCCGTTTCATAGGCCAGATGCTCCACTTCCCATCCAGCTCCCTGCCTGTGGCCTAGGAAACAGTAGAGGACGGCCCAAAGCCTTGGGACGCAGCACCCATGTGGGAGACCTGGAAGCAGCTCCTGGCTCCTGGCTTCAGATTTGCTCAGCTCCGGCCATTATGGCCACTTGGGGAGTGAACCAACAGATGAAAGCTCTTTCTAAAAATAAATCTTAAAAAAAAAAAGATGTTTAAGGGAGGTTGTATTAATCCCTTTCTTTGTGGGTTTTCCAGAGTGCTTGGCATAAACGAATGGCAGAATACAGGATTCCAGTATGATGTCATCAGCTGCTTGAATTTGCTGGACCGCTGCGACCAACCCCTGACTTTGTTAAAGGATATCAGGAGTGTCCTGGAGCCGACGAGGGGCAGAGTCATCCTTGCCCTGGTCTTGCCCTTTCATCCCTATGTGGAGAACGGTAAGTGTGTCAGGCCAAATCATGGCCTGAGAGCCATTCATTAGTTTTGGGAATTTAATGCTGTGCTCAGTTTAGAAATAGAATAATCTGGATTTTAAAATAATCCAGTTAAACCATATAAAATATCACCTTGACTAATGTTTATCTTACTGCAAGTTTTATAGAACTCTAGTACCTACCTCCCTACAGAGGGAAAAGTTAATACTTGGCGTGGTCTGCTTGCTTGAGATTGACAGCCTGAAGTGCATCTGTGTTCTCTAGTTTTAAATGGGGCTTGAGCCACTTATTTATTAGCTTATAAGTTTTTCTGTCATAAGTGATGCCTTTTATCTATTCATTCATATTTGCTAAATGTTATGACCGCATTGGCTTGCATATTGACTAAGACCTCTGGCAGTTAAATGTGACCTAATGTCACATTAATTTGTAGTTTTTTTTTATTTTATAAGATTTATTTATGTTTTTGTATTGGAATGTCAGATATATAGAGAGGAGGCGAGATAGAGAGGAAGATCTTCTGTCCACTGATTTACTCCCCAAGTGGCCGCAACGTTTGGAGCTGAGCTGATCCAAAGCCAGGAACCAGGAGCTTCCTCCAGGTCTCTCACGGGGATGCAGGGTCCAAGGCTTTGGGCTATCCTCGACTGCTTTCCCAGGCCACAAGCAGGGAGCTGGATGGGAAGCAGGGCCTACCAGGATCCATCCTGGGGCGCATTTAAGGCTAGGACTTTAACTGTTACACTGTCGTGCTGGGCCCCATGCATTGTGTTTCATAGTGTTTCTGATGCTGACAACTGAAAGGAAGTGAAACCGACAAGAGGGCAGCCTCCACTGCGGGTTGAACACATGGTTGTGGGTGTGCGGAGCTGCCAGTGGAGGCATAGGAGAGGCTGGCACGTGACACATGCAAACTTGAGACAAGAAGCCTTGTTTCTGAAGGTGACCTTTAGTGACCTGGAAATGTTGTGACTGCTCTGTGGCTCTACTGTTGCTTCCTTTGTCCGAGTCACTAATTAGATCCTGACGATCCCTGAGAAGCTGTGTGACGACTCTGCGCTCTAAAGTGGTCTTGCTGGATGAGTTCATGAATACTTGCCTGTTTTAAGGATATGAGAGCACGCTTTGCAAACTTGGCTGAATTTATTTTCTAACAAAAATATAGTTATAGGTGAAATGGTTCCTTCTGTGATTTTTTAAAATAAATGTCTTGAAGTTGAATCATAGCAATTTTGTTACAAAACACAAACATGTGTCTTTCTAATTTCAGTTTATTTCACTTAATGACAACATTTTGGTTAGGCCTTATTAAATCTGGTGAGAATTAAGTGTTACTGTAAGGGAAAGTATGTAATCAAGAAAATAATTATGTTGTGAAAAGGAAAATGTAATGACACTTCTCTAAATCACAGTTTTTTAAAATTAAGATTTATTTATTTTTATTTGAAAGGCATAATTGCACAGAGAAGGGAGAGAGAAATCTTCCATCTGCCGGTTCACTCCCCAAATGGCTGCGTGTGAGAGCCTCTTCCAGGTCTCCCATGTGGGTGCAGGGGCCCGTGGACTTGGGCCATCCTCTATTGCTTTCTCAGACCATGAATCCCAAACAGAAGAGCTGGGACATGGCCTGGCACCCAGATAGGATGCTGAAAGTGCAGGTGGAGGCTTAGTTTGCTGTGCCATGGAGCCGGTCCCTAATTTGTAATTTTTTAAAGATTTTTTTTTTTTTTTTTTGTATTGGAAAGGCAGATCTACAGAGAGATGGAGAGACAGAACAATCTTCCGTCTGCTGGTTCACTCCCCAAATGGCTGCAATGGCTGGAGCTGAGCCAATTTCAGGCTGAGAACCAGGAGCTTCTTCTGGGCCTTCCACGTGGGTGCAGGGTCCCAAGGCTTTGGGCTGTCCTTGACTGCTTTCCCATCCTCAGTATGGGAGCTGGATGGGAAGTGAGGCTGCCGGGACACTAGCCGGGTGCATGCAAGGCGAGGATTTAGCCACTAGGCTATCATGCCATGCCCAATTTGTAATTTTTTATAAAAACGTTATATATAAAATTAATTAAAGCAGCTTGCAAAGGGGTATCCAGCGAAAAGGTTCTCATCCACTCCAGTTCCCTTGATCAAGATTTCTTCTCCAGAAGATAGTCTTTGCAAATATAAATTTGTACATTTGTTTGATTTATGCAAACAGAGGTCCATTATAAATACTTCGGTTGCCATTTCCCACTCACACTTGTAGGAAGAGGCGTTGCTTTCCAGCACACACACACCGCCATCATTGTCTGCCTGTAGGGGTGTTCTGTAGGAGCTGGCTCTGCTCGGCTCATGAGAGCTGATTGTTGTATTGGGAGAAATTTCACGAACTTTTTGTTTGCTTTAATTTATTTGAAAGGATGAGACACACACACCCCTTCTATCTCTTGATTCACTCCTAAGCTGCCTGCAACAGCTGTAGTTGGGCCCGTCTGTGGCTGGACTGGGCGCTCAGCTCATGTTGCTGCCACTGGAGTCAGCATTAGCTGCTTCCCAAGATGTGAGTTAGCAGGAAGCTAAAATTGGGCATCCAGCAAAGATTTGAACCCAGATGCTGTAATGTGGGATGTGGGCATCCCAAGCAAACATCTTAACCACTGTGCCATACCCTGCCTTTAAACTGGTTTAAACTCGGTGCTTAACTGCACACTGTGGCGGTAGTATTTGTGTTATGGGAAGTGGACGAACACTGCAGTTAGCTTCTCCCTTCTCTAAGCTGGCTGGGAAACATTTACTAACAGTGCTAGATGTGATAACTGCTTGAGGTGCTTCTGGATGTATTTTTAAACATCAGCAGTTTTAAAATGTAAAATCGAAATTTGTCTTCTTTAATGAAAATATTTTTACTTTAAATGCAATGTTATCTTTTGCATATATATATATATATATACACACACACAATACTTATTGGCAGTTTATAAGAAATATTTTAATGAATTACATGTAGTTATAATTCATGTTTCATGAGGAATACACACTTCTGTGTCCAATACCTCAGGTTCTTTACAGGTCACTTTCAGAGACGAGTTCACATTATTAATTTTTTAAGAATAAAATTGTAATGATCTCTGGAATTGCCTTTAAAGTACCCAGCCCCTTATCTGACACCTTCTTTCTATGTTATGTTGCTGAACAATCAGTTTTGCTAAGGACATCGCGAGTCTAGTGCATTGCCCACACCTCCCTGGTGCTGTGAACTGGCACAACAGTGACATCTAGGGCTTTCTCTGGTTAATTTGCTTTTGAACTTTTACAGTTAAACTTTTAATCTTCTTACTCTTAATGTGTAGTCTTTTCTCACTTCTAGTTGTTAGCATGCTGTAAGTTATCTGATGTACTGTACCAGGAAGACGTGCACTGTACATACGATCGCTTCTGTTAGAGTCAGAAACAAAGATTTTTACTTCAAGGTACTTTTCAGGCTGAACTTCTCCAACTGAAATTTTGGCACCTTCCTCCTGCATTTTCCCTCCTGGTAGATTCTAGTTGTCCCATCATGTTGACAGTATCATGAAACTTCACCCCCCTCAAGACTGAAGTGTGAGGCTTGGCTTCTGATGCTCTTCAAGGTGACAGGCGTCACACACGTCATACACTGGAAGAGCCAAACACAGCATGCACACTGTAAACCTTAGTGGAAAGTTAGGCTGAGCTTTTGGAAACTGTTAAGCTACTTAGTTTCTTTGGCAAATCAGAAAAGTATTTTTTTAGTTGCATTGTGTTGAATTTCAGAATTGTTGGAATCACCTTCAGTTACAGTTTGGTACTGCTCCATCTTCCTTTGAAACCACTGTTGCTGGAGTTGCAGCTTGAGTGACTTGGCTGAAAACAGCCTGCGTTTTACGGGCTTTTACGGTTGGACAGTGCGCTTTGATTTTCATAAGTGCTGTTGTCTTTGTCCTGTGTAATAAACAACAAGCCCTGGTTAAGGTGAAGTAACCAGAAATTCATCCTCTGGATGTCATACAGGTTCTCCCAAGTACCCTTCCAGGAACCTTAAAGGTCACGGGACCACTTTCTTGTTCAGAGCTTTAGTTAGGAACTTTTATAATTTTTACTTCTGGACATGACTTCTGGCCACATACCTGTGTCTTTGTTGAGAAAGTTGCCCCCAATCTCAATAAGAATATAGAGTGAGAAGGCATTTATAGTTATTATGTATGTATGGTATCTGAGGTGATTGGCCCAGCAAATTTATGTATTTGTGCAATACACAGATGGATAAAACAGCTCTCTAGACAATGGCCTCTCCTGGGTAAAAGTTCTTTTTAAAGTTGGATTTTAAAAAATAAAAAATGATTTGATTATATCAGCATCCTGTTATGCACTGCCTTGGCAACTGTTTGAGAGGAAAATCCCTTTCCTGGCATATGAAATCTGCATTTTGTTTGCATTTTCATTCAGATCAGGACAACCTGACCATGCATATTATGCCCTGAGTGCTGAGACAGTATCTCGTTTGAAAAGCCTCTTTGTTATAGGACTTTAGAAGGACATTTTCAGGATGTATTACAGATGGTATATATGTATTTCTATCCCTGCAACCCTTAAGACAAGAAATCTCATGTCTTGTATCCTTAGCAATAGCTGTTCTCATGAGTCTATTTCTGCCTTATCCGTAACAGATAACTTCTTCTCTGTAGTTTGATCCCTAGATGTTTGCAGCTTTGACTTGGTGCCTATTATTGCATGCAAGATGCTCTAGGAAGGAGCTTACAAGCCACAAAAGCCTCTTCCTTTTTATTGGAGGCATTGTCTGTGTTCAGTATACTTCTGAAAGTTTCTCTGCCACTAAGATGGCACTAATATTGTATCAGATGTCCTTTATGGTGTATTTATGAAAACATATTCTGTTACAAAAACTCCTATGAATGTCCTCCTTCCACTTCTAAAGGGAAACATTGTCAGCGGTTTGGCTGTGGAGTGTCTTTCCTTTTTCTTTTTTTTTCCCCCCAAATATTCTTTATATCTGTATTACATATTCTTGATATTTTATACTTACAGGTTGTGGGTTTGTAGCCACATATCTCTTATGGTACAGTTCTTGAGCAATTTCATGAAAAATACGCCGAGCACTCTTCTGTAAATACAGAAATAATACAGAAAAAAATAATCTCTTCTGTGATCATGAGCGATGTGATTGCTGTACATCATCAGAACTTTTTCTCTACTACAGCCAACCTGAGGGTCTGGCTAATGCCACAACACATCCCCGCTGGGGTGAACTCTCCTCATTCCCAGGTCATTGGATAGAATGTGTGGCTGAGAATCGTCCTGCTGAAATCACAGCTCACTACTTGAGTACACCACTGACTTTCTCATCAAGAGGAAACATCCATATTCTGCAGAGTTATCCCCATATCTCTGGCGCTGGCTTGCTTTCCCGTTGCTCAGATAGGAAGCAGCCGTACTCAGCCGCATGTTAAGATATATTGACAGGCATGGATCAGTACCTTTTGTGCATCTTCTTTGGTTTCTCTGTTTCTTAGAGGGTGAGATTTTGCCTGCCAAGAAGAAGAAGAAAGTCTGTCCAACATTTTATGCACTTAGGGTTGTGACAGATGCCTCAGCCACCATCAGACTAAGCAGACTTAATATCTGAATACTATACCATAAGAGTTAATAATTTTCATATCATTTCCAAGAGACCTTTATTCCATGAATTAAACCAGTTTCACAACTTTAACCAATGCTGATTTGAGGATTTACAGTAATCCCAACATGGCACAGACACAGCCCTTCTTAACAACACATGCGGTTAAGAGATAGTGCTTCTCAATAACTTGAGTCCTTTCTGAATATTTTAGCACATCTTCCGATTTCTTGGTTAACCTTTTCTACCCATAAAGAGTATTTCTCAGGGCTTTTCCAGATGACGGTGACGTCCTGCCCACCCCCCCAGCCACAACCCCCCGCAGTAGGAAGCTAGTATATTTGGTGGTTTCGCAACCCTTGTATTCCTGAGCTTCAGAGAGAAGCCCCCCCAGGTCCTGTGCCCTGGTTAATGAGAGTTGCAGGGCCGAACATCTGTACCCGCTGCTGCCCTCTTCCTTTCTAAGGCTCGTGGCTTACAGAGAGGTGGAAAGTTCTGTCCCTAAGATAATATTGGAGGCTGTAGGGTCATCCCTGCAGCGCAGGAAGACTTGGCTTACTTTGGAGAGGATGATGAAGATGATGCAGATGCCAGCGATGTAGACGGAGAGCAGCACCAGGAGAGCCGTCAGCAGACTCTGTACTTCCCTGCTGAGAAGCTTGCTCTCTTCATGACCGACCAGAGAGAAACAGACGGTGTTGACACACGTTCTTGCGAATATACACATCAACGATCATTGAAGCTGCATGTTAGAGGTGAAAGTGTACTCACCCTGCCTGCCTAGTCATACACGTATGTATTCAGGGTCTCTTGATGCAGAACACAATCAGGCAGATAGTTTAAACCAGTTTACCAGCTCTTTACATGTATTGCACCAAAAATGTTACCATGGAGTGTTTTCAAAGATTGGAAAAAAAAAAAAGACAACTTAGGGGTAGATATTTGGCTAGTGGTTAAGCTACTGGTTGGGATGCCTGCATGTGACAGTGCTTGGGCTTAACTCGGTTCTGCTCCCTGTTCTGGCTCTGCTAATGTTCACCCTTGGAGTTAGCTCTGTGTCCCTGCTGCCCATGTGGGAGCCCTGGATTGAATTCCTGGCTTCCAGGTTCAGTCCAGTCTGGCTGTTCCCTTCTTTCGCTCCTCCTCCCTCACCCTCTCTGCCTCTCAGATAAGTAAGTAGGCAAAATTTAAATTCAGAAAAACTTAACAGAATTCTACTATCCACCTGTTACAATGCTAAGAATCGCTTTTTAATTTAAGGCCTTACAAGAAGTTAGATAAACATTTCAAGACAGTTTGAGGGCATTTAAAATTTCTCTTGATGGAAGTGTGGTCAATGATGTGCTTATGTATCTGAGATACTTTCACATGCACTTGTCAGTGCTAACAAGTACACAGCCTTGCCAGTGTACCCACATGGCTGGACAATACAGTCTGTAAAAGAACCCGAGAAGGCTGCCCATTGAGGAGCTTTAACACTGCCTACTAAGACAGACATTGCAAGTGGTACATGTGCTGTTCCTTCCTTATACTGAAGCCGCTAACCCAGACTTTCAGGTATGCTATGGATAATTTGTGTGAGCTCAGTTTATACAGCGTATGCATTTGTTCGTGAAACCGACAAAGTAGCTATACGTATATAATTTTCCATCAGTGTTTTTTGTGCTGTGGTGGGAACTCTGGAAGGAAGTTACCATGCTGCCTCAGTGGAACTTTCACTTCTCCTAGAGGAGAGTCTCCTGCTTTTCCAGCCATTGTCCCTTTTTGTCTGACGCAGTCAGACTTGGAGGTTGCAGGGTGTCGGTTTTACTATCACAGGCTAACCTTTTTTGCTTGCTCGACAGTATTAAAAATGCCTGTGTACTAATTCACTCATAAAACTGGTTTATAATTTATCTTCTAGGTGAGAATATACTAAAGTCCAAATGTGAGTAACAGAAGACCATTGGAACACATGTAATAGTTAAAAACAGAATGCTAACACTGCATGGGCTTGGGTCCCCAGAGCCTAATTAAAACCAAAGGGCTGGTTGATTTTGAGGTCCTGGTTTCATAACCTCAGGGCTCATCACACCAGCAGCCTTTTCAAGAAAAAACAAAAACACAAGAAAACCAAAAAGGCAAGAAGTTACTTCTCTTACTTCCCTTGTCTTTCCCCAGGAGTCATGTGACGCTTCCTCTCTGCGATTGCTGAGAGTTAGGCAACCCAGGGACATGACTTGGTGAAGTTATTCAGGGCTTAGCTAGATTGGATGTCTTGGCTTGGGTGAGGAATTGTCATGGGTTCTAGTGAAACTCAGGAAGCCATCGCTTCTGCTCTGATGCCCAGGCAGCATGGCAGCGGGCAGGGCCTCTCCACCAGTGGCTTTTCTCCAGGTTTGTGCATTTTTTTCCCTAGGGTTCAACTTACCAATCATCTGTGCATGTCTAGCTTTGTTCTGGGTACTGGTGCAGCACTGGACCGGTTCCTGAGAAAGCTGATAGTTAATCATTGCTTAAGTCTTCCTTTATGCTGGGTACCTCACAACCAATCATTGTTAACAGACAGGAAGGAAGAACTTGGCCCACCTTCCCTAGTGAAGTGTGGACATTGAGACCAGATCTGGCGCCGGCATGGGTATTAAGTGAGCCAGCTTATCTTGCGATTTCTGTCTGTGAGTGATGGGTGAGTCTCAGGCCTGAGCACAAGGTGAACGAACGTGATGAGATGGAGCCTGACTGACCTCTCACCACCAGCATGGTCCCTTCTCCTGTTTGCCTGGCTCTTGGTTCCAGAGCGTCCGTAGCAGCAGCGATTCCGCAGATGTAAATTGCGCTGTCGTTTGAAGTCACCCTGTTCACCGTGAGAGACACTTGGTTTTGGGCCAGGGCTTCCCTCACCGTGTACTTGTCAGCTTCGCTTCTGCATCCATGCGGGAAGCACAGGTTCTTGGGCTGCTGTGTGCCGTGGAGGAACCACAGGCTCACTGTTGGCCTCCTAGGGCAGTTGCTCATGGAGAAGGTGCATTCAATGGTCACAGCCTTGTGAGTGAGGTCCACTTCTAGGTATTGTGGCTGCGTGACAGAGACGCTGCAGGCTCCCACAGCACCTGCAGGAGGAAGCAGGTGAGGGGGTTTGGAATGGGTTTCTCACCTCACTTTGCCCGTGTTCTGTCTGACATAGGTGCGTTAGGAAACCCAGCCGTTCCTTTCAAATGTGATTTTCCAAGCTCAGGCCAGTCTTTGTGTTGACTCGCATGATTCCTGACCTCTGGTATCTGGTCCCTAGAATATAGCCCCCTAGGGATTGCAGCCGAGCCTGTGTCATGAGCAGGGTGGCTGCCTGCCTGGAGTCGGACTGGCTGCTGTGTGCCCGCTTGCTTCTACAAGCTTTCCTTTGATCGTGCACAGACTGTGGAATCTTTGGAGCCTGTGTCCTTGCCTGCTCCCTGGCTGCATCAGTGTGAATATTCGGTGTGGTAGCATGAATCAAAGCTCCTCACGTGGACGTTGCTGCCTCTGATTGAACCATTTGCAGGACGGGTTTTTTTTTTTTTTTTTTTTTTTGGCCCAGTGGGGGGTTGGGATTACTACGAATTCACTGCGGTTCAGAATAGGCCCTTTGTGAACTTGGTGTCCTTTCAGGAAACACGATAAAGGCAAGATGAACACCTGTGGAGATGCAGCCCTGGCGTAGCCCGTAAGGTTTCTGATTACTGAGCACAGGCCAAATGAGACAGCCGGGCTGTGGCTGAGCAGATCTGATGTTTCCCTGGCACTCGTTCTGTAGTTTCTTGTAGTACTTAGCTTATTTGATTCATGATGCATGATAAAGAGCGCAGACTTGAGTTCAAATCCTAGCTCCACCTGTTGCCAGCTCTGTGATCCCTGTATCTGTTTTCTCAGCAGAGTTGGGGTAGCCACCGTCAACCTTGTCCAGTTCATGTGAAGGTGAAGTACATAGATGCCTAAGTCCTTACATGCCTGCACTGTAGTATTTATTGCCCACTGTTCCCGCTGTGCCATCTGCCGTTGGCGAGATCACTGGGGCATGTGCTACTGGGTGCTCCCTGCGCAGGCAGGCCAGCTTTCTGTTTGCTGGGCAGTGCTGCTTGCCAAGGAAGAGAAACTGGGTCCCTCAGCCTTGGCCTTCTAGTCCTAGGTTTGTGAAGCTAGAAGGCTCTGAGGTACTAATGCAAATGCAAAGACCTGCCTGCTACCATACAAGGGAGGCCATTTGTAAAACAGTGTTGGGAGAGACCATGGTAGAGTTCATGTAAGTCACAGTGCACATATTCTGCCTGGGTCTGTTTCCATGGACTCTTTCTCACTTAACATTTTTTCACAGGTTCTCATTCAGAACAGAAAAAGGATTAAAATTAGCATCATGTCATTTGTGATCAGGCCTCTTCTCACTGTGTTTTAATTTTAGCATTCATATAGTTTGAGCCATGCTGGCAGCTTTTTCGTGAGGTGATAAATATAAACCAGCCAAGAGGGCACACAGCCTGGGGACCAAGAGGCTGAGCCCAGCATGGGCTTCAGTGAGGGCCCTGGGCTGGTCTCTGATCCGTACACGACTTTAAAAAGGCACCGAGGGGCCTGTTGTGGTCTCGGGACCCTGCACCCACGTGGGAGACCTGGAAGAATCCCCTGGCTCCTTGCTTCGGATTGGCTCTGTTTGGCCGTTGTGACCACTTGGGGAGTAAATCAGCAGATTGAAGATCTTCCTCTCTGTCCTCCTCTCTCTGTATATGATAGCCAATAAAAATAAATAGATCTTTAAACAACAACAACAACAAAAAGGCCCAGAGGAACCTTTGCTGTATAGAGTGACCCTTCTCCGTGGGACATTGGGAACAGCTGGGCTGACTTCAACTGTGTCCTCTCAGTGGCTCATTATCCTGCAGATAACAATGTGAAAGGGGGTGCTTAGCACAGGCTGGAGCGCACAGCTGCAGCTTTGGAGTCTGGTCCTGGGTTACCTTAACGCTTTACCTCGCTGCCCTGGAGCAGGGCTGGGGCTCTCAGTTCCCACTCCACACTTGTGCCCACTGACCACTGAGCCTGCCGTGGGGTTTCCCTACTTAAAGATCCTCGAGAGGAAATGGCTGCCCTTCCCCCAGCAGTTAGACAATTTATTTGCCAAAAAAAGGGAACTCCAGACACCAGAGCCTGCTCCCATGGAAGATTTCACTCCAAGAATTTATTCCCATTTTCTCTAGGCTTTTGTCTTTTTTAAATACAGTATCTGCTGAGAAGGTTGGAAGTCTACCTCCTCAGTGAAGGAAATTAAAAAATCATTTTCGTATTTTTGAAAAAAAAAAGTTGGAAAATAAATAGGGATCTAATTTTTCATACTTACAAAAGCCATTTTGTTAGAAAAAATGTTGAATGTGCTCAGCAGTATCAGACCAACCCGGTGAGAACCAGCAATCCCCAGCGGCAGCTTAGTCTTCTCCCCTCCCCTTCCACCAACTCCCTCACTCTCAGAGCATTTTAGGACGAAAATCAGACATTTTGACTGCCCTTCTTCCAGACAGATCTGTTAAAGACGTGTTCTTTAACGTAACATTAAGATAGTCTGTAAAGGTCATATGTATTTGTTAGGAAAAAAACCAAAAATAAAAGGTGAAAGTAGAACAAGAAAATCAAGGGCTTTTGCGCCCTTCCCCGTGCAGTAGTCCAAGTGTTCAGGAAACACTTTGTCTCTCCTTGGGAAAAGCTGGTGGAGGGATTCGCAATGGCTGTATGGTGGAGTGGGTGGCAGGGTCCCCTCTTCGGACAAATTGTTGATACTTTTAATGTACAGAAGCATTGTTCGCAGCGAATATTCAGGACAGACCATCTAGTGCTTGCTCGGTACAGACCAAGTCTGCCTCCGGGGCACTTACACGGCCCTGTGCCCAGGCCAAGTAGCTTTTCAGACCATTGCCAGCCCCTCCCTGAGCTCTTCCCTGCAGCGGCACAGAAGCAAAGGGAATTTTCTTGGTGATTCTTTTATTCCTTCTTTTGCTACAGAGAAAGGAAATTTATCAACTCTAGCAATTTCCTTAATGTTACACATTTAAAATTAGCCTGTAGGAGCTTAAAAACCTTACCGACATGAAGTAAGATGAGGCTGATCACCGGCTGGAGGAGGAGCTGGCCTTCGTGCGTAGCCTCCATTGCTGTCTCCCTGTGCTTGGCAGGAGACTTGGTCTTTATGTCGCTCCGTCTTTTTTTTTTTTAAAGAACTGAAGAGAGGAACTCATATTAAGGAACCACAGTTGGGAACTTTTAAAATTGTGTAAAGACAGTTCGTAATCCAATTGCACCATTTACGGTTGTGGCTTCAGCCTGTGACACGTTTCTGAATGCGCAAAAAACGTGATTGTTTTTCGTGGATTTTACAAATCCTCCTCAGGTGTAACAAGTTCTCAGTGAGCTTTGTGGCATATAATTGAGGAAGGGGTGCTGTTTGACAGACGAGCGGTACTTGGCATTTCCGGAGCAGGCCAGTTGCTGGTACTGGGGCACCTTCTGTATGCCTCACTGTGGATCTGTAATTATTTGGCACAGAGATGGGAAGACCAGAGAAGAAATCAAGTCAGTGCTGGCCTTGACTGTGAAGTTGAAGGCCTCACCTGTTCTTCCACTGCCCTGAGCACTTGATGCTCCCAGGTTTAGAAGTGACAGAGACGTCCGTCAATTCTCCATGAAATGCTAGGCTAGTTAGTTCCTCCATTCTAATGTTCTGCCTCTCTGAAATTGTCCTGAAAAGTTAGGGAGTGGGTCAGCTTCATTTGAAAAACACACAGCTGATGATCTGTTTTTTATAAATTTAATCCTTCATGAGCTGATACATCTCTCTAGGTGGTAAGTTTATTGGCACAAGGTTATTTTGTTGAATTTGTTGAAAGCTCCTCTCAAAGGTTATGCTACTCTCCTGTCTCAAGACTGTAGCATTTCCTGACCGGTTTCCTTAATCTATTGTCTGTTACACCTCCCCCGTCAGTCCCGCACGGGGACCGTTGGAGAAGCCCTCAGTGAAATTCATGGCATGGGCTTTGGGGCCAGATGAGCCCAGGGTGCATTTCCACCGGGACACTCATTTACCCTGCGGGTTCAGGCTCCCACTTTGTGCCCTCCCGCCTTGGGCATCCCTGCAAATGTAAAGGATGAGATTCATTGGTGCACCAGTGTCTGGAACATTCCAAGACCCTGGCAGAGACTATCCTTCTTGGTGTGTTCTTTGTGTGTGTGTGTGTGTGTGTTCTGTTATATTGTTTTATATTATACATAAAAGTTTCTTTTAACTCAAGCCTTTCAAATATTCAAGCAAGTTTGTTCTTAGTGACACAGCACAATCCCATCACTGCCAGAGACCACCTGAGGCCCAAAGGGACTCCCTGTGAATCAGCTGTGCAGTGACAAGTGCCTTAACCTCAACTGAGAGGCTTGGCACCTTGAACTGCAAGTGATGGTTGCTACACACTTGGTATTGGGGTTATTAGAAAAGTTCATAGAAAATAGAATTGAAAGTCAAGTTTATATTGATGCAAAAGATTCTGAAATCTATGCATAGATTTATCATGATATACGTTTCCCATTAGAAATTGACGAAGCCTCATAGGCATGACTTTCAAATATTTTGCACCAAAATAAATTTAACTTCGAAGTCCATTTCCACAAACTGCACGCCCTTCATATTTGGCATAGAAACGAGCCACAGACAGCCTCAGTGCGATGAACTATAACCACAGGCAAAACCTATCAGCTCAAAAGCCTACTGAAATATAACTCAAAATTTATCCATATAATTATTTTTAAAACAGGTTGAATAAACACATTTTTAATCATTTAGAGAATTCCTACCTAGCAAATACCTTGAAGCGTCACCAAGCTGAAGTCAATCACTGGCAAGTTAGAGCCCCATAATTCTAAGGCCAGCAGCAATTATCAACCCACAGACACCGCCTGGCTCGTAAACAGCAGCTTCTACGTGTAAAGATCCCCTTTTGGTGTGTTCTTTAAGTAACTTGTTCAAGAATTTAACTCATTGCTTTTATTTGTTCCAGTAGGTGGCAAGTGGGAGAAACCATCCGAAATTTTGGAAATCAAGGGACAGAATTGGGAAGAACAAGTGAATAGCCTGCCTGAGGTTTTCCGCAAAGCTGGTTTTGTTATTGAAGCGTTCACCAGACTGCCATATCTGTGCGAGGGTGACATGTACAATGACTACTACGTACTGGATGATGCTGTCTTTGTCCTCAAACCTGTGTAAACACGTGGAGGCCCGCGTCTTCAGAGCCTGCCCAGTGCACGCTCGAGGACAGGGCCTGGGTCCACGCTGATGTGAGGGGAGGGCCTTTGGAGACTGCCATTCTAAATACCACGTAGGGACTTGCAGACCAAAATACTAATTATTTCTTTGTAGTGTGTAAAAGGAATGTTTTTTTAAAAAACAGAAACCCAACTCTGGATTTTTAATCAATTCTTAACTCAGAGTCACACTCCAATGCAGGTCACACTCCAGTGATGATGGAAGATATTTTTTATACTTAATTGCCACAGGGACTCATTCCCAGACAAAGCAATAGTCATGACTTCATGGAACCAATAAGCGGATTGTCTTTAATACAAACGAAGACTGGCAACAAAGCTGCCGTTCAGTTCCAAGTATTGGTTATAAGGTATAGCCGCGGTTGTGCTCTCATGTTTAGAAATTCTGTTATTATTCAAGAAAGTGTTTTTAATCATGCTAATAAACTTTTTTGGAGATGACTTTGGCATTGCGTTTGAGTTAATATGAGGCTTCCCTAGCTTTTTTTTTTCTTGTTGCTTTGGCTGCAGGAATACCCAAACAATAGCAGAGTAAGGAGGATGCAGGCTGCTTGAACATGAGGTGAGGGAAGGCTTCAGCCTGGGGGCAGGGGTGGGGGCTTGCAGTGAAGGCCGAGGCAGTCTAGACACCCCCCCACAACAGCCTCATGGAGACCAGTTTCTCAGGGGCCTTGCTGCTCCCGTGTGTGGCTCTGAGAAGCGCAAGGCGCCTGGTTCTGACGGTGTGGTAACTGAAGTCCTGTACTCAGAACTGGGTGTTTCCGGACAATCTCAGGTTCTCAGAACTGAAACATTCTGTTGTCTACTGACAGAATACAACCAAAAAAAAAAAAAAGTATATACCTCTTTCTCAAACTTGGTTCTTCCCCCAAAAATCTTTAACCGAGTTTACTCTCTGCCAAGAATATGGTTTTGATGAAGACCGTGTCAGGCTCATGCCTTTTAGAATCCCCGAGTGCCTCTCACAATCAGCCCGGAAATGTTGCAGTCGAGGAACTCGTTAGCAAGATCAGTCACCACTGTACGTCTCCCAGGAGCATGTCATGGAGCCCGGAGTCTAAAAGTCGCAGTAATCAGAGAGATGCCAGTCAGAGACTGTGCTTGTTAACAACAGGTTATCTCACAACTCGGGGTCTTTTTCCATCCAGGTGTTTCATTAAGTAGTCTCATTTATATGCTCCCAGAAGTCATCAAGTCAGCAGTGAGGGCAACACCTGGCTCTAAAGGCAGAGCAAAGCCTGGAGAAGAATGACTCCAGCATCCACGAAGAACAGCATTCTCACTTCCATACACCAACACAGCCCACGGTCACTGTGCAGTCATGATCAGAGTTGGGTTATGTGTGATTCATGCAACATTGTTACTGGAGTGTTCTAATGATTTTTTTTTTCCCCCAGGAATTTGAAGAAGTCAAGTATGAATACTTAGCACGCTAGATTGTAAACATAGAAAAAGGAAATGAATGAGCTTAATGTAGTTTCTCATACAGTTGACGTTTGCTTCTTTGTTTCAAGTGTCGTGATCGGAGGTTGCTGTTTATTTAGACTGTTGAGCAAGAGTGACAGACGCTCAAACAGGCAGGTGCCACAGAGGGTCATCAATTTTCAAGTTGATAATGAATTTGATGGTCTATTAAAGACACAACTCATTCTTAATCCTGTCCCCAAATCAGAGGAAGCACATACATTTATATGTCTTAAAGATAGAAAATATTTTTCTTGAGAAAATCTGAAATTCTGTAAAGACCAACCTTTTAAGAGTGCTATTTTATGGTCAAACTTGAAACTGGCAAATACACTCCTATTTCGTATCTGGTTGTGAAAGTCTTGGTGGTCTGTCATCTTTCCAGTAGGTGGCAGTGTTGCTTACTGAGTGTCAATGACTTCCCTCTAAATAGAATGATTTTTTTTTTCTCCAAAGTACAATAAAGCTGCATTCTTATTTGCACCATTCCCTGTGTAAGTGCTTCATATCGAGTTCAGGTTCTGGAGAGAAATTAAGAAGAGCTCCAGTTGAGGTCAAAGCAAGCTGCTTGACCTGAAAGGTTAGCAGCGAAAGGCAATGCAAACTGCACCTGTGACTCCTGGCCTGCTGCACCTGCAGGATAAACCCCTGGAGTGTTCAGACTGCTGATTTTGTAGAAAGGGGGAGGGAAGATACAATCCCCATAGTCATTCCTGGTACAGAATCACTAAAAGCAGCATTGATGTTTTCTGCCATCCAGTATGACCTGCTGTGGGTTTTTACATAGCTGATGTTTAACAGAGGGAAAAAAGGCTGGGTTGGGGGAAGTAAAGAAAGATTTAAATGGTTCCATCTGGGAGGTTTTGCTGTCATCTAGTTCTGAGCACAGTGTTAACAAACTGGCCGTGAGATGTTTTCATCAATTGTTTCTCATCGCTTGAATAGAAGTGGTCCTTTGTTGATAATGATGACATAGTCCTTATGGGCCTCCAGTGACGAACATAACCCACCGAGTCACCGTGTGTCTGAGGCATCCTTATCCCAGCACGGGGACCCCAGTGAACACCAGTGGGCTCAGCTGTACCGTCCAGGAGGCCGCGGTGCATCCAGCTGGCTGCGTTGCTGACACAGGCATCACCCTCGCAGGCTTACTATGACCATCTCCTTAGAGAAGATCGGGAGAAATTGGCTTGTGATTTAAGTGAAAAGAAAGCAGTGTTGGGGTTCATGGTCAAGATTCCTGCATCCCATATGTACAGTGCTTAGATTCAAGGCCTGACTCTTGATTTAAAATACATAAGTAAATGTACCCAGAACCATTAAGAAAATAGCCCTGCTCTTTTGTTACTAGTAGGTGATGAGTCAATACTTTAGCAATAATGGACAACAGTGGTTTAAAAGAATGTCACCTGTGGGAGAGCTAGAAAGGCATTTATATTTTGCTGCTTGCTTTATCAGTGTAATATATTTGTGTCATCCTATGTAGAACTGATTCTAACTTAGATTGTAGCTTGCCCTTTAACTATTTTAAAAATCAACTTGAATTTTTTAGAAACATTGTAAAGTTTAGTACAGGGGATTCCTGTAGAGCACTTCAGTGGTGTTAACATTGTGGGTAACCAAGTACGTTTCACAGACATAAAACCAGTGCTTTGTTAATAATTAAACCCTAGAGTATTTTAATTTTGCCATACTTCCACCGATGACCCTTTCCGGTTTTAGGATCTTAATTCAGAATACTGCATTAGGATACTTGTTTATAATAAAATCATTAGTGTTCACTGAAAATGTGTCACCATTTGTGTGGTTATTTTACCCTTCTATTAAAAATATATATATATATATATTTATTGGAAAAGCAGAAAGAAAGATCTTCCATTCTCTGATTCACCCCTCAAGTGGCCACAATGGCTGAAGCTAAGCCAGTCAGGAACCAGGAGCTTCTTCTGGGTCTCCCATGCAGGTGCAGGGTCCCAAAGCTTAGGACCATCCTCCACTGCTTTCCCAGGCCACAAGCGGAGAGTTAGATGGGAAGTGGAGCAGCCAGGATACGAACCGGCAGTCATATGAGGATCCCAGTGCGTGCAAGATCCAGCCATTAGGCCATTGCACCGAGCCCTGTTTTCCATTTTAAAGATTGGAGCACAGGGCCGTGTTGTGGTGCAGTGAGTTAAGCTGCCGCCTGTGAGGGCAGCATATTCTGTATGAGCACTAGTTGGCGTTCTAGCTGCTGCGCCTCTGATCCAGCTCCCTGACAGTGTGCCTGGGGAAGCAGCAGAAGATGGTTCAGGTGCTTGGAGCTCAGCTCTCAGTGTGAGTCCTAGGTGGAGTTCCTGGTTTCTAGCTTCTGCTGGGCACAGCCCTGGCTATTGTGGCCATCTGGGGAGTGAGCCAGTGAATAGAAGCTCTGATCTCTCCAGCTCACCTTCTCTTTATAAATTCCAGTAAAATAAATAAATCTTTAAAAAGCAAAATAGTAAAACGCTAGACAAATTAACCATCTTAGTCATTTTTAGGTGTTAAGTATATTCGTATTTTTGTGGTAACCATCAATACCACCTATCTCTGAAACTATTTTCAGATTTTTTCAAGAAGTATTATTTGAAAGGCAGAGTAATGGAGAAAGAAGCAAAGACAGACCTTCCATCTTTTGGCTCACTCCCTGCATGACCACGAAAGCCAGGAGTGGGCCAGGTTGAATGCAGGAGTCAGAAGGTGCATCTGGGTCTCCCACATGGAGAGGAGGTACTTGGGCCATCTTCTGCTGCCTTCCTGGGAACATTGCTGGAAAGTTAGAAGTGTAGTAGCCAGAGCTTGAACTGGACACTCCGATAGGGGATGCAGGTGTCTCCAATGGTGAGCTGACCCACTATTCCACAACATATACCCTTCTTTTCATCAGACTAAGTTCATTGAACAATAGCCCACAGCTTCCGACAACACCCGTTCCACTGACTGTCTGGCTGGACTAAGATCCCCGTATTATACAATCTTGCAGTATTTGCCTTTTGGTGACTGCCTTGTTTCAACCTTTCGTCAAGGTTCCTCCGTGCTGTAGCATATGTGGGAATTGCTTTTTAAAAGTATAATTTTCTGTCTGTGGGCATACTATGTTTTCCCTCCCCATTCATCCATCATCGATGTCACGGGCTGCTTCCCCTTCTAGCTCCGTGAGTCATGCTCCTATGAGCATAGCTATCCAAACGCATCTTTCGAGCTCTTTCACTTCTGTCGGGTGTCTAGTCAGAAGCAGAAGTGCTGGATCATGTGGTTGCTGTGTTCCTATTTGACCACATCCTCACCAGCACTTTATTTTTCTGTTTCTAAAATAGCAACTATTTTTTTTTTAATGTTTACATGATTGAGAAGGATGCACCCCATGTGGGCCTCCAATAAGGGTTGAGGGGGTCAGGTATGGAAGAAGGTGGGTAACACACATGTTTCAGTCTCCCCCCGCCCCCGCGCCCCACTGTGTCCACAGGGGAGAGGGAGAGAGGGTTGCTCCTTGCTGTCAGATCACAGCAGCACTCGGGGATGGTGCTGGTCCTTTGATGACACCCTAGAGACCCCGATGTGGAGAAGTGTTCTAAGGCTGTTACTTGAGTAGGCTTGATAGTTCTGAGAAATTGTTGATTTCTTTGCTCCAGGGTTGGAAAATCTTTCCAAAGTCTATTGGTTGACAAAGTTCACCTAAGTGCATTCACAGACCTAGGAACACGCTGCAAAGCTTGATCAGGAGAATTGTCCAACCTGTTCTGCTTTCCATCCTCTGACAAGGCAGTTGATGTCCCATGCTGGCCTAGATGGGCTGACTGTCATGTCCCCCATGTGCGTCTGGGTATGCTGTTCACTGCACAGGCAGGCATCAGCAATGGAAGAGGCCCAGTCACACATGCCCTCCAAGGTTGGACTACATATCCTGTGATTTTCTTGGTGGCCAGGGTGTGCTCTGTACTTGCTGCTTATATTGGTATCAC